AATGCTTGATGATCTTGACAAAAAGGAAACCTTGATACTTAATGAACTTGATAGAAAGATGCTTATGATGCTGGGAGCTCAGCCTTTGTCTCAACTTAAGTACCAAAAACTCAAAGCATATAGAAAACCATGATTCAAAATACCCCATTGATCTCATGTCTTAGGAGCTTAACGAAATGCATGATTATGAATTATGATCTAATGAGATATACAGATGAATGCAAAGCGAAAGCTAGTTAAGGTTATAAAAAGTTAGGGCAAATTTTGGGGTGCAACAATGGGTATCAATCTTAATGATGTATCGTGCATCCTCCATATTCTAATCACATGAAGATTGTTTGATCACTCTTCAATTTAGAGATATGAGGCAATATACCTAATGGTGACAAAATTAGGAGTTGATCAAGGTGGTTCCCAAAAGAAGACTCTAGATAACATAAGGTATCATGCTAAATTTTCATTTATACATAAAAAAATTACTGACCACTTGGATGCTTCTTAAAATAATGTTATTGATCATGCACATGTTTCCATTCCTAGACATACTTCCATTTTTTCGTTGGCACGACGATATTCATGGACAAAAGTGAGACATATGTTAATATTGTCTACCTTAACTATTTCAAGGACTTCAAGAGGATTCATAAGTATAAATAGGGGAGTATCTTGTTTGGCTTACTTGTACTCCAAGTTAGATGAATCTAATCAAAGGAAGAAGAGACAAATGATATGAATCAATTGTCTATTTTAAGTAATTTACTTACATGTCAATTATTAGTTCCATGATACTTGTACTACACCGTGATTTTCATCTAAATCATTTTCAGGAAGGGATCCTCCATCATTTTCCAAGTATCATCGGGTGGGAGTATGTTTCTAACTACATTGAAGAATTGCCACGTGTGCGTGCTCGATTATCCCACTCAGAGGAAATCACGTGACTAAGCATAAAGACTTACTCTTGTCTGCATTCTGAAGGAATTTTGTGTGTGTGTCAACTCATCGTACATGGATATATTGGGACTAAAGGAATTTTGTGGAACATGATTTGGTTATATTGGTCATGGTCTTTTATTGATATTTATTGAGAGATGGCACGCATAGACATCACCATTTCATATTCCTATTGGTAAGATGGGTATAACTCTTAATGATGTATCATGCATCCTCCATCTTTCGATCATAGGAAGATTGTTTGATCACTCTTCAATTTAGAGATTTTAGGCAGTAGACCTAATGCTGACAAAATTAGGAGTTGATCAAGGTGGTGCCCAAAAGAAGATTCTAGATACCATAAGATATCATGCCAAATTATCATTTATACATAAAAAATTTACTAACCAATTGGATGATGCCGAAAGTAATGTTAGTGATTATGCACGAGTTTCTATTCCTAGACAATATGCATCGTAGATATACTTCTCATTTTTTGTTGGCACTATGATAATCAGGGACAAAAGTGTGACATATGATAATGTTGTATACCTTAACTATTTCATGGGCTTCAAGGGGATTCGCGAGTATAAGTGGGGGAGTATCTTGTTTGGTTTACTTATACTCCAAGTTATATTAAGCTAATCAATGGAAGAAAAGACATATGATATGAATCAATTGTCTATATTAGGTAATTTACTTATATGTCAATTATTAGTTCCATGATACTTCTATTACACCCTTACTGATTTTCATCTGAATCATTTTTAGGTATGGATCCTCCGGTATTTTCCAGTTATCATCAAGTGGGAGCGTATTTCTGACCATATTGAAGAATTTCCACATGTGTGCTCGATTATCCCACTCAAAGGAAATCTGGTGACTAAACATAAAGACTTGCTCTTATCTGCATTCTGACAGGTGATATTTGTTTCATACCATACCGTGAGCACCATCATACATAGTCTTTGGAGGTGATATGATGGTACTCTGGATGAATGAATTGTGTGTCTTGACATATGTGCCCACTTCTACCTGAGCTAGTGATGTGACACTTCGGGTATATACAGGGTATACATAGGAACCTCACATTGGTTGTTCCAACCAATGTCCTCCAAAATGATGTAAATGGGATATTTGCTAAGTACAATGAGAATCGAGTGCCATTGGATGTATATAATGTGTCATCTCATCGTGCATGGAGTATGGTATACGTTTACACCAAATGGTCTTATAGGATTTCCCATCCTTATATGACATTAGTGCTAGATGGAGATCCCATGACTCATCAAAAGATACTAGAGAAGGAATATGTAAGGGTGAAAAATTTCATGGATATCTTGCTTATATGTCAACACATTGTTAATATTATAATAAATAACATCATTATAGGAAAGTTTCAGGAAGGCACCCCCGAAAGGGTCACTTTACACACGATATTATAAGAGGATCGATTTGCACTACAGCAGAAGAGGCAGAGGAGGAACAAAGATGTGTCATATACCCTGTAGCTTGACTTTAAGTTATATTATGATGTAGACATTTTTAGTTATAGTTTTAGTAGTTTCTTTTATGAGTTATGAGTGAGTTGTGTGTAACTTATACATGCGACTTATGAATATTCATTTTTGTTAGAAATGTGTCATATATGTATTTTCTGCAAAATCATTATGAATGATTAAGTAGTGTTTTTTGCAACCCCTGAGTAATACAAATCCATATTTTATGACTTATATGAAAATAGATAAACAAATGTTGTCTCAGGAGTGTGCATGGAGATTGTACTCTAGATACATATGAAAATGGACAAACAAATGTTATCTCAGCGGTGTGTACGGAGATTGTACTCTAGATACATATGAAAATAGGCAAACAAATGTTGTCTCAAGGGTGTGTACGGAGACTGTACTCCGAGCACACCCTGTTTTGCAACTAATAAGAAAATAAACAATCAAATGATGTCTCAGGGGTGTGTGCGGATATTGGGATCTGAATACACCCTATTTTGCAACTTATATGAAAATAGACAAGCAAACGTTTCCTCATGGGTGTGTACGGAGATTGGAATCCAGACACATTAGTGTTTTACAACTCGTATGAAAATAGACAAACAAATGTTATTCTAAGGTGTGTATGAAGATTGGATCCGGACACACCCCTTTCTCGCAACTTATATTAACTAGACAAACAAATGAGTCTCAGGGTGTGTGCGGAGATTGTACTCCAAACACACCTTATTTTTCAACTTATACTAAAATGCGCAAACAAATGTTGTCTCAAGGATCTTTACAGAGATTGGAATTCATATGCACCCTATTTTTCAACTTATATGAAAATAGACAAACAAATGGTGTCTCATTGGTGTGTAACATTTGAGACCCAGTTTATAATGTGAAAGTGGAAAGTTCGAAAAAAGTGAGTCGACATGTTCAAAATATGATGGTGACCGCTTGGTTTAATTGTCACTAGGTGTTAGTTTAACCTTTTTAGGAATACCCTTAGTTTTTATTGGTTCTGCGAGTGGCTTCGTATCTATAATTTATGGATAAACTATCTTATACAGCTTCTCAATGATGTGCACTTTTATGTAATAATTAACTTTCAAAAATCTCTCTTGAATCACCTTTAATTCTTCCATAATAGAGATATTTGGTTACACGTGAGTTATATTTGGACATGTTTTCTATGCTTGCACTTCGTGATAGTTAAATTTCAATAGCACTTGAGATATAATGCTGACCAATTGTGAACACAATTTTTTATTTTTGAATTTATGTTTTAATATTGTGATGTTATAACCAAATGATGTATGTTTCTCATTATGTTGCAGCTGAACCATTTGGTTCAATAATTCCTAACCCGTACAAAAATCATCCTTACTATTTCTCAACAAGTTCTTCATTGTAGAATTAGCATATTCAACTCTATTAGTTGTGATATTTTCAAAGTGTTTAACTTGATCAGTTCATACACAAACAAATTTCTCCTTCAATTAGTCTAATATCGTACTTTCAACATAGTTCTAGAAATCTGAATATTTCATGCACATCATTCTAAACTTTGGGACAGATTTGACATATTTCAACATAGGTTTGACTATTTTCCATCTTTATTCTTGATTTGTTTGGTCCCTATTAGTGGCTTAAGTATACCTCTCACATTTTTGTTATATAATATCTGCACAGTAAAGCATATGATATAGGAAAGACTTTTGCAATTGAATTCATCAGTGTAGTATCACCACTAGTGACGATCACCTATAGAATTATTTCTAGGTATTTAAGCATATTCTGACACATTTTCAAATCCCATTGTAACATTATCCTCCTTTTCATATTTCAAAAACACAAAGCCAATTAAATAAGCAATCTATGTAAAAGTAACACCAACCATTTTCAAAAGAAGGAGTTTGTACTTGTTGGTCTTATATATTAAATTAATTATCAGTTCGTGGAAAATGTGTTGAACAACTTGATGAAATCATAATTAGCATAAAATATATCACGAAAAGTTTTTCCATCCTCAGATACATGATGTTCATTCAATAGTTTCAACAATTATTGTATTTTAGATCTTGGACCTCTTATCACCTTGTTGTTTTATTGACGAACATTGTATATTTGTTTGATATTTGAGACACATTCAAGTATTTTCCTTTTCAAATTGCGTGTATGTTTTTGGAATTAGCCGTGTTTAATGTCATGTTAGAAACAAATTTTTTTTCTATGAAATTTAGACGATAGAGAAACCGATGACCAACTAACTTGCTATTTAAACCATGATTATATAGACCACAAATCATACCAAATATCTAAGTATTATTCAACTTGTGGTATTTGCGCAACTTATTCATAAGTACTTATTTCGATAAACACTTGCAATAAGTTGTATATCCAAAGAAACCTTAAGTCATTATTGATAATTAAGTTACATTCATACAATAAAATCACTACCTCATTTCAACAACAATACAAGGAAACATTCAGAAACAAAATCATCTCAATCAAAAATACTCACAACTTTGTGAGCATTTTTACCTCTCTTGCCTACATAATATACAAGAATGCTTAATGCTTTGTAAACCTCTCAAGGACTTGAAAGTAGTCAGGGAAGGTTTTTCTTGTGCAACCAGGATCCTTGATGGTGACCGGAACATCGCCGCAAGCAGCAAGAGAAAATGCCATCGCCATTCTATGATCGTCGTATGTGTCTATTGACGCGATATTCAGTTTCTCAGGTGGTGTTATCACGCAGTAATCGGGACCTTCTTCGACTGTTGCTCCCAGCTGAAATATCAACAAAGGTAAATAAATCAGAAAAATGTGAGAAATCGGTGATAAACTACAAAGGAAGCCTCTGCGGAGACATGAGATTTACCTTTCTGAGTTCTGTGCAGATTGCTATCATTCTTTCTGTCTCTTTAACTCTCCAGCTTGCCACTGAAAAATAGAAATGAGTTTACGTGCGAAAAACAAGTTCAATAAATAGTTTGACGAACGGATAAACTGTACCGTCTCTAATAGCAGTTGGACCGTTAGCAAATAGTGCAACAACAGCGAGTGTCATGGCAACATCGGGCATCTTGTTCATATTGACATCAATGCCTTGCAACACTTTCCGACCGGAGGAATCCCGTGGAGGCCCGGTAACTGTGACGCTGTTTTCTGTCCATGTAACTTTAGCTCCCATCTTTTCAAGAACTTCGGCAAATTTTACATCTCCCTTAAAAATAAAACGGAAAAGTTATACAGAAACATTAAGATATAAAAAAGTTTAAAATGGCTGCTGTATTTCCCGTGCGTAATTACCTGTAAACTGCTTGTCCCACAGCCGATAACCGTGATGGTTCCACCGGTAACTGCTGCACCTGCTAGAAAGTAACTGGCGCTAGAAGCATCACCTTCAACGAAAGCATTTCCGGGAGACCTTAAAAGAAATAACAGTTATTAATCTCGTTGCATTAAGATATTAAAAATCACGTGCCTTGAAAGAATAGAAACCTACTTGTACTTTTGACCTCCATGGACCAAAAACCTATCCCAATTATCACTGTGTTCGACAGAGACTCCAAAGCGCTCCATCAACTTTAAAGTCATTTCCACATACGGAACAGAAATCAGCTTATCAATAATCTCAATTTCAACATCACCTAGAGCCAACGGTGCTGCCATAAGCAGAGCAGTTAGGTACTGACTGCTAATAGATCCGGACAGTTTCACCTGCATGCAAGACGGGATAACAAGATTAAAAGTGGAGGGGAGGATCCTTAGTTAGAGTTTTACTCTACCAACAGCGAAGTTAAAAGGCACGAGAAATTCTGAAATTCGATTTGACTTCACATTTCAAGGCCTGGATAACTCTCGCATAATTTATTGTGGAATGTGACGAAGTGGCAATAAATGATATAAACACACAAGCATAGAGAGATTATTGATGCGACATCAAATCAAATGAAAACTAATGTGAGCCTTACCTTTCCCCCTGGAAGTCCTCCCTTCCCAATTATACGAACGGGTGGACAGTTTGTGCCAAGAAAACAATCAACATCAGCACCAAGTTGCTTGAGACCGGAAACCAAATCTCCAATTGGTCTCTCTCTCATTCGGGGAACTCCATCAAGTATGTATCTGAAATATATAGAACATGAAGTGGATCTATTTAGAGACTCGAACCAGAAGATAATGTTCCGACCAAAGAAAGTAGCGAGATTTTTGCGCATAATGTGTTCCTCATAAAACATAAAACATGTTATACGCTAGATTTTGACATGTTAAATAAAGACAAACCTTGTATTTCCACCTGCAGCAACCAAGGCTGCCGTCAAAGGACGCATTGCCGTACCAGCATTTCCAAGGAATAAATTAACTTCATCTTTAGATTCTCTACCGGTGGGAAATAATCCCCCACTGCCTTCCACAACTGCTTGTTTGGTTATTTTGTCGTCTTCCACTCGAAGTCCAAGGACCTTCAATGCCTCGAGCATGTAATGAATATCCTCACTATCTAACAAGTTCTCTACAACAGTTGTTCCCTGAATAAACATAGTAGAACCAAACATTGGTATCTAGCAGCTAAGCAATCTATTCAAATCACCTAGACACAGTTCTATTCCCATTTCTGATAATAAACCAAAAACTATACTCAAAATCCACAACACAACAAACTGCAGCTCCTAATCACAGAATCACAAAATGTACAAATAAGTAAACTTAAAAAAACCTTCACCTCAGAGAGAGCAGCTAGAAGCAGAATTCGATTGGAGAGAGACTTTGATCCAGGCAAAGTAATGGTACCAGAAATTTCACTTATGGGTTCCAGCACAATCTCCGGCACGGTCGACGGCTTCTCTGCGGCGGCAACCGAAGCAGAAGCCTTCATCACAAAGGAATTCCCCCTACCCACATCACAATTTCCAACAAAGACTCCATTTTTATGCTTCAAGCTCCATGATTTTGAGGATCCCCAAAGACCAGACTTCAACGAAACTGAATTTGCTGATTTGGGTTTGTGGGAAGTAGAAGAATGGTGAAAATTTTGGGTACCTTGAACAAGATTGTTGATTCTACTCAACTGGGCCATTTCAATTTTCCTTAAAGTTTCAAACTTTATTTGATTTTTCTGTAATTTGGTGTTTCAATGTATGGTTGTTCTCTCTACCCCTCTTTTGGTAGGGTTTTTGAGTTTGGGGTTGGTGAATGGTGTGGTTGTTGGATTGAGATGAAAAGGGTTTTTAGTTACCAACTCATACAATGCAATGCTCAATTTCTTAAAGAGAAATAAGTTGAGTGAAAAAGATGAAGTTTTGATTCATGAACTTCACCTACCAACTAGGAAAATGGCTTCAAAATCAAATTCTAGGCTTTGGGTGATGTTTTGATTAACCTATTTTGGATTTTAATTTTTTGTTATTAAAAGGTTAAATGAAATATTTTGTAGAAAATGGGTTAAATTAAATAAAATAGAATTTGAGAAAATTAAATATGAGTTTAATGAATATGCTAGTTGATATAAATATATTTCATATTAGTTTAATACAAAATCATCAATTTATTAAATTATCTAAATTGTTTTAAAATATCAGTGTAATTTAATAGAATATAGTTTCGTTCATTTGACTCGATAATATATTATTAAATATTAAGAGATAAAATTATTTTTTGAAATTAACTATGATTCTTGTAAGAAAGAAATCATATATCATAAATTATAAATAAAAGATTTGTTTTTAAGTATAATTTATAAATTATTTATGTTGAATTATTTTATTATATATTATATTATTTTGGTAGGTTATTATGAAGTTTTATTTTATTATCTAAGAAATTAATATAATAATAAGTTATATAAAAAATTACACAAGCTACATCTTGTCAATTTAAGTTATTTCAAATAAATAGACAAAAAAAAAATAAGTGTAGAATTATAGCCTCCTCCAATATAGTTTTTTCATAGTTATTCAATTTTGTTTTTGTTTTTCCAAGTAGTTAAAATTGAAATATAGAGGGGTTGCACATCACAACACAACTACTAAAGAATAGGTTGGTGAGTGAGAGGGGAATGGGGTTGGTGAGAGGAATCACCAGCCAACTAGTGAGGGAGACACTATCATTCTCACCAACCATGTGGGACCCCTTTATTAAATATTTATCATTTATTTTAAAAAGGAAAAGAAAAATATTGAAGACAATTTCATTTAAACTTTTTGTAAACAAAATATAGATTGCAATCCCAATATCACTTAATTTCTTCTTTTAAGCAAAAATAATTTTTTTAGCATTTCATAACCCAACCAATAATCATGCCAAAATCTAACAAAATCTCCATTACCAATATTACAAAAAAGACTCTTTGCAAAATAAAACCTATTGTAGTTTATTCTAGAGTTGGTTAACAAAATATCTATCCACCATAGACTTTAAAACCTATAAAATTTTATTTCTAATTGTTATATAAGAGGATCGTAGATAACCGATGTCAATTTGAAAGCTTCAATTTATACCTAGGTCACTTTTTTTCTCTCTCTTATAAGTTTTGTCCCATTGACTTAACAAATTTTTTTTACTTCCAAACATTCTCCCCTAAAAAAAATTTCTTTGAATGTTGATTAAAAAAATAATTACTAAAAGCCTTGAAAAATGATTTTAAAAAAATAAAAGAGTGGATTTCTATTAAACTAAGTTGATAAATGTGACTATATTCTTTAATTTATAGATGTTTTTTTTTCTCTGAGAACAAGTCTTTTCCAATACCTATTTAATTCTTGAAATTCTGACAACTGTAACACAGACTACTGGGCTTATTAATAAGCTGTAAATGGAAAGCAGTAAATAACACAAATAATTGTTCACCCAGTTCGGTGTCAACCACACCTACATCTGGGGGCTACCAAGGCAGGGAGGAAATTCACTATTAGTAGAATTAATTCAGAGTCAAACAACCTGTTTGCACTCTTCACTTAAGACCTATCCAATGACACTTCTGCCTAGAATCCACTAGACAAGAGACCCCGCTCACTCCTCCTCAATCATCACAGTGATAAACAATTCACAATTACAATATGAAGACACTTTTCAAACACACTTTGATCTTACTTCACAACTTTGATCAAGAGACACACACTCTTGCTTAACAGCTTTGAGTGACACAATGAGCACACATGTTCATACACAATAACCAAAGTAATTATACAACATACAATTGCTTGGCACACAAGGAATTAAGATTCCTAGACACACGTGAAGAGCAAACCTCTTTACTCACACTCTCCAATCTCTCTTTTGAAGCTCTGCCTTCAAGCTCTTTACTATTTGGAGTGATCCTTCTGCTATTTATAGCAGCAGACTTGCTTTGGGCCTTAATGGAGAAACTAGGTTTACCCAAGATAAACCTCTCTTCATGAAGTTGCGCACTTATCATTAGGTCAGGAGTCTTCTGTGTTATCCTCGCCAATGTCTGTTATGTCGCCTTAGATAACTATGCTTCCTGGATTGTTTCCTGAAGTATAGCCTAAGCTAATAACAGAAAAACTAACCCTGCGCGCCCTGATGTCATACGATCGATGTCATAACATTCAGCTTCACTTACTCTTAGCTCTCCCTGCAGAACACTCTTCATGTATGCCATAACATCAGTTGTGACATTCATACATACAACAATATTTTGCCATAAAATGCAGCCAATCAAAAGCATCTACAAACTCCCCCTTTGACAATTTTTTTGCTAAAAGACTCTGTTACAGTATCAGAGATTACAAGCAGCAGAAGTCATACCATATAACCTGTCATGCTGGAAAGCTACTAACACACTATGAGAGTTGTCTATACAGTTAGCTCTCGGCTTCTCAGGATCAACCTGTTCACACATAATCATATGTTAGTCAACACTACAAATGTCACAGTATGTTAAGTAACATTATGGGTTACTCCCCCTCAACTGATGCACAACACATCAGTGCAGACAACCTGCAGTCACACAGATTCATCCAGCCTACTCTGGATCATGGATATCATGACATCCTGAAGTACACAATCACCTGTGAAGCATAACATCCTATGCTACTCCCCCTGAAACAATGCACAGCCACATACATTCTGCAAACACCCTGCAGATACACACCCTACTAGCAGCTACAATACTACTAGGTTCCATCAAGGAACACACACACACATCTAACAAACATTCCTACACCTTAGGAATTCACACATCACTAACAGCATCAGTTGTTATCACACACGCACATTAGCAAAAATCTTCAACCATGCACATTTGCAGCAGCCCCTATAACACACCTGCAACACACTTGTAGCAGCACTCCCCCCCCCCCCCCCTTTTTAGCCACAAATTAAGATCAAACTAGTAAAATAGTATAGATCATAATGAGTAATATTACACATGTTTGGGGTCATTACAAACAAAAAAACTGCTCATGAAGAGCATCACAAATTTTCATGTTGTCAAACAAAAATTCTAACAAAAGAGCCAAAAATCATCACATCAGCAGCATATCATTATTATCAGCTCAGCAACCAGCAGCCTGAGCTCCACTGCAGTCTATTAGCACACATTATTCATCTTCCTCAGAGGAATTGGAATCACTGTCATCCGAATCTGACAATGAGATGTCTTTATTTATGTCATTAGGGTCGACCTCTGGCATATCAGAATTGTGAGGTGGATCCATGCGAGCCAAGGGAATGGTGATGCCCCGAAAAGGCAGTCCTTTCTTGAGTATATCATCGACAATTTCCCCAATGGATTTGTCCATGTATGTCGAGCCTTCCCTGTTTCTGATTTGCCTAAGTTCTTCAGCAGTGGGAGGAGGATACTTGCGCTTGGGTTCTTCAGCAGTGGGAGGGGTACCTTTTGAGGATTTGGGAGGGGTCTTAGATGAAGAGGCATCATGATGGAAAGACATCTTGTTGCGGAGTGCAGACTGAGAATTCTGCAGAGTGGGGGAGGCGGAGAAAATTGTATACGCAGTGATATAGGATGTTTGTGTGGAATGGAAAGCTTTTGTGGTCAAGGTCGTGGACTGCATTGAAGTTTTAAAACTCTCACGTGCCAGTAATTGCTATGAGTCCTCATAGATGCAAATACCCAATTTTCCTCTTAGATTCTCAAATTGAGCAACATCTAGAGCCTTTGTAAAGATGTCAGCTAACTGTAGTTCAATGGACACATGTTCCAAGGAAATCACTTTGTCTTCCACAAGGTCTCTTATGAAGTGATGTCTTATATCTATGTGCTTAGTTCTGCTATGCTGGATTGGGTTCTTGGATATTGATAGCACTGAGATTGTCACAGTACAATATCATGACATCCTGAGTGACATTGTATTAAGTTAACATTTGCTTCATCCAGACCAGCTGAGAACAACTACTACCAGCTGCTATGTATTCAGCTTCAATAGTGGATAATGAGACACAATTTTGCTTTTTGTTGAACCAAGATATGAGGTTGTTCCCTAAGAAGAAGCATCCACCAGAGGTGCTCTTTCTATCATCAGCACTTCCAGCCCAGTCAGCATCATAATATCCAGATAATGTAGGATCACACCCATGAGAATAAAGTATACCATAATCACAAGTTCCATTCACATATTTGAGAATCCTTTTGACTTGATTTATGTGACTTACCTTAGGATTTGCTTGATATCTAGCACATACACCAACTGCAAATGCAATATCAGGTCTGGTGGATGTTAGATACAACAAGCTTCCAATCATGCTTCTGTACAGGCTTTGATCCACACTAGTACCACTCTCATCTTTTGATAACTTTAGATGAGTGGGTGCAGGTGTTCTTTTGTGACCAGCATTGTCCATCCCAAACTTTTTTACTATGTTTTTGGTATATTTACTTTGGGAGATAAATATAGAATCTTCCATTTGCTTGACTTGCAATCCAAGGAAGTAAGTTAATTCACCACACATGCTCATTTCAAACTCAGGTTGCATGTGATTGACAAATTGTTTCACCATTTTGTCTGACATCCCTCCAAACACTATGTCATCCACATAGATTTGTGCAATCATGATTTTTCCACCTTCATCCTTTACAAAAAGGGTCTTTTCTATCCC